TAAATATATTAGACTGTTTAGTTTATTTTAACAACTTAAATATTAAAAATGTTTGTTAAAAAATATATTATATATACATGTAGCTATGAACCTTATTCCAGGTTGATTTGTATCGATTAATTTGTATGTCAGCTATAGGCTGTAGTGGTCCAATATCGGCTATTTCGACAAATGAGCAACTTTTTAGTCACAAATGGATATGTGCAAATTTTCAGATCTATTTCTCAAAAACTGAGGGACTACTTCGGGTATATACAGACAAATAGACGGACAGAGGGACATGGCTAAACCAACTCAGCTATTCAGGTTGATCATTTACCTATACATTTTATAGGGTCTCTGCTTGCTTCCCTCTAGGTGTTTCAAATTTTTTGGAAATTTTTATTTACCCTGTTCAGGGTATAAAAAAGACTTAATTAAGTAAATTATTAATATTATATTATTAATAGGATTCTTCTATAAATTCGTCAAACTCAAAAATTTTTAAAGATATATATTTTTACAACAATTTATAACGCATTATTTTAAATATTGTCGCAACAATTATGTAATTAAAAAGTTGAGATTTATATATATTTAGCCAAGTCATAAAAAAGTTGTTTGATTTGTGTAAACTCAGTGTATTTTCTCCTCGCATTTTATTGCAGAATAATTGTCTGAAACTCCAGGCCTACAAAGAATGTATTTCAAATATTGCCGTTTACATTCTGACTTTATATATTGATATTAAAAATATATTTATTTTCCATGTGCGGGGAAGAAAACTTTTCTATAAAATCACAATATGCCCAAATTTCATTACTTTCAATTTAATGAAGAAGTTGACAAAATTGTGAGAGTTGAGCTTTAGCTTTAGCTCTTCAACAATATTTGGAAGTCTAATTTTAATATTTTTTTAGCAACAATAAAATATGTATATTCGACAAAAGCAAGTGACAAAAGAAAGCTTAACTTAACTCGCTAGAAGATATTGTCTATAGAAATTGGCGGCGCTATAAAATAAGAGAAGGGATTTTACCCAAAATTTTATCGGTTGTGGTCTGCTAAAATTTAGATTCGATTTCAATGAGATCAGAAAAAATTGTACAGTGATCGGAACATTTGTCGTAAAAATGCTGTTTCGAGAAAAACGCGTTTAAAGATAAACTGATTACCTATATTGACTGGCTACACTTTAGAAACCCGTAACCCAAAAATTATTTTAAAATACTTATTTAAAAATTTAGTGCAGCCATAGACTATCGAAAATTGCAAAAAAAAAATTAAAAATTTTAACCCTGGAACGGTAAGCAATCGTAAATTTTGCGACTACGAAATTGAAAATTGCAGCTGTTCATGCCCTACGATACGGCGTAAAATTTTTTCCTGATATTTAATTGCAGGAGGCGCTTGGATAAATTATGACAGACTACAGGTTAATTTGTTTATTTTAGTAGAATTATGTCAAATCGAAGAAACCATTATTCTTAGTTTGAAGAAAGTAGCCAAGCTATATTAGAGGAAGAAGACAACCAGGTACAAGATGATGAATCAGAAACTGCGAATAATACTGAATGTAATTTCATTGCTTTTGAATCAGATTAGGATCCTGATGATGCAGATGTTATGAGTTCTGGCAGTGAAAAATCTAGTTCTTCTAAAAGAGCAGGCTACACGCACTCTGCGTATTGTTATTTTGCAGCAGCTGAAAAAGAAAATAATCTAAGCACCTTGGATATGTTTGACTCAAAATTATCTAGATCGTTTTAGAAAGTAACAATGAGTTTCAAGCGTTTTGAGTTTTTGCTGGATTGTTTACGGTTTGATGATAAAACTACTTGGGCTGAAGATAAGCTTATTATAAATTGCTACAATAACTATAAGCCCGGCAGCTACGTGACTATTGACGAGAAGCTAGAAAAATTTCGAGGGCAATGTGCCTTTCAAATGCATATCCCTAACAAGTCCGCTAAGTATTGCATAAAAAAAATAGGTTTGACCTGCGATGTTTGTACAAAATATATGCTGGAGCCCATATTATGGGAACAGCATGTACTAGCTGTAATGCGAACTTTGCAACGCGCACTTTAAGTAATGATAACAGAATGAATGTTAGCATCGAGAACCAGCAATGGGTCCCTTGTGTGCAGGAGCGCACAACTTGTTCGCTGTGCCCATAGCGAAAGCTCCAGATGATGACACTTTCGTGCCGCCCTTTGCCGCCCACCAATTTGTGAATAACATTATGCACAGTTCTGCATACCTTTCGCCAACCAAAAGTACTTTTAGGTTATGTAATAATTTGATTTTATGTGTTTCTATGTTTTTTTTTAAATCATTATTTGTAAAATAATTGAATTGAAATATATATTTTTGTTATAAAAAAAAAACATAGTCGTAAAATTTACGAATGCTGAGTGTCAGTTTACAGTCAAATGGATTCTTACTGTTGTAGTGTTAATTAGCGCTTATATCTTTGCTAGATACTTATGCTAACTTCTTTTTCAGTATTGATGATGATATGTTTTAAAATTTACTCGCAAATAGACAAGCGTACAAGCATTAAGCTATCAACGGTAATGCATTTTTTAGATGCTCAGATATTGGTTATATAATAATATAATAATCCTTAAATTCATTTATTATTTTATTAAATTAATTAAAATTAAATTCCTTTCCTTATTCAAATTACATACAAATACGCTCCATAAACTAAATCAACATCAATAATTTCAACCAATACAAGAAAAAACGTTAACTTCTAGCTATAATACCCTTCACAAATACAAAGCCTCCTTACAAGTACTTGCTTCCGATTGTTCAGTTTGAATGGCAGCTATATGGTATTGTGCTCCGATATCGGCCGTTCAGACAAATGAGCAGCTTCTTAGTGAGAAAAGGACAGGTGCTTGAAAACTGAGGGAATAGTTTGCATATATACAGACGAACAGACCGACGAATGTGGCTAAATAAACTAAACTCATCATGCTGATCATTTATGTATATACTTTATAGGTTCTCCTACGTTTCCTTTTTCGTGTTACAAACTTCGTGGCAAACTTAATAATCCCTGTTCAGGGTATAAATATATATATAAAAATTTAATGGACTTTTAATTTTCTAATTACAATATTATATTTCACATTACATTTTTTAACAAAGTTTCCTACTTTCCACTCATTCAAAGCGTCTTCATGCATGCGCTGCTAATGTATTTAAATTTTAGTTGAACAATTAGACACAGATATTGAGGTAACACTTTAATTATATATTAACCTAATAAAGTTGTTTAAGTTTATGTTTTAGGTGTTCAAAAGCTTTCTAATTTTTAAGCAAAAAATAAAAAAATAATAAATGAATAAATAAAACTGTGTTAATTGACCTCATGCAAATAAAAAGAAAAATAATTAATAAAAAGTATTGAAATAATTAATTTTGGAATAAAATAGGTAATTGAAGACAGAATTTTTATTTTTATTTTGGTAAAATAGTGTGCATATATGTTAGATTTCAATATTTTACTGTTAATTTATCAAATACATGTTCGCTGCCCTTGTAGTAAAAAAAAAACACGAAAACGATAGCGAATGGATTTCAATTTCCCAATACTTATAGATACATATATGGGACTTCACTATCTATGACAATACATTATGTAAACACTGCTTGTGTGCTCATATATTTCTATACGCACATTTACTCTCGCAAATACTTCTACATATATTCATATTCAGCCATCAATCGAAACTCAACACAAACAAAAGATATATAAGGCTTAGCTGTTTATATAATTGTAAAAACGTAAGCGAATAGTTTTCATTTTTATTGAAGATCAAGGTTACACATAAGGTATAGTAATAACTGTTATTTTTTGTTGTTAAATACCATTTGGTTGTCTTATTATTAAAATGCCATTGCAATTGTCTGTCAACTTATTTTGATTGAGGTTTCTCTCTCATTAATCTCTTTGCCAACTTTGCTACCTTGTCCGTATCAACACATGCACATGCCTTAATTATGTATGTGAGTCAGCCGATATTTGCATGAAGTTATGTTTTTAAATACTGTAATAATTTTTTTTTTGCTATTTGTCATTGATTTATATTTTGAAATTTAAAAAAAAAACCCCTACTTGACTCATTAGTTAAATCTATTAATAATTTTGTTTTCATCCCAACAGCAGAACATCTCAAAATATTTTTGAATTATATAGTAGAATTGACTGATTTGGTAGCAGTTAAAGTTTGGAATCAAAATTTTAAAAGCTGAAAGTTTTGAATAAACAAAATAACAAAATCGACGTAAAAATTGCAGAACTCGCAAAAAATGTTATTCCAAAGCTTCAACGTGGTCACCATTCAGCTGTTGTAATGGTTTTGTGAGGACTCTTTTATAAAAATCTTCACTTCTGTGCAAAAGGGATTACAACTGGAGCAAAAATGTACCTGCCGGATATTTTATATGGCGTGGTAAAACAGTAAAGCAATACTCTTTTCGTTGGATAGCATTGGGACTTCTAGTAAGATTCTGGTCCAATGGTGGCTTAAAAGCAATATTCCTGATTTCATAACTGCAGATGATTGGCCGTTTGAAAGTCCAGATTTCAATTCATTGAACTACTGTTTTTCATCATAGTTGGAGCTCATGGCCTATCGAATACCCCACAAAAATTTGGAGAGTCTCAAAAAATCGAGCAGTGACAGCAATGACGGAATTGTTCGAGGTTTGCTGTCATTGCTGCCACTGCTCGACCGTTCGAAAAAAATTGTGTATATCGCTCATTAAATAAGCATTATTAAATAAGAGTTACTTTATTAAAAAATTTATTATTGTTTATTTTCATAAAGGCCTGAACTTGTAACAGCACTTTAGACAGCACTAAGTATAAAGTTTGCAAAATTAAACTAGCTCTAATTTTTCTTTCCTAATTTTTGACAATTATCATTACAAATTTTACTATTCCGCAAATCCTGTTTGCTCGTTTTAAGTTTAACTTATTTAAAAATTTTCTCAAAACTTACGATCTAGCTCATCGAAGAATTTCGACTCCTTCGGCAGCTCCTTTGTAATAGCGTTCTTCAAATCGGGCGTGATAACTTCATTATAAGCACTATTGTAATTTTTCTCAGCACTTGACACAATATTAAAAAGCAGCGCGATTGTAACAGCATTTAACGAAAGTGTAAATTTATTTGCAGTGGCAATGCTGCCTTTAAAAACGCGCAACATGCTGCAAGTGGCAATTAAGCTTTAAATTTTTTCAAATAGCACTTAGGGCTTTAAAGAGGCACATAAAAGTTTTAAAACGAAATTTTTAAAATTTTTTAACAAATCTCAAATTTTCACAATTGCAACGCTTTCCGCATTTTTTGTCACTTTATCAAAGGCAAATATTTTAAGATTGAATTTTGATGTTCTACAATAATTTAAATTATTATTGAAATAAGTAAAAAATTTAGCGGTCGTTTACGGTTTACGTCGAGTTAATTTTATTATCGTAACAATTTTTGAGTTTATTTTTTTGTTTTTAATTTTCTGCTTTGGTTTTAATTTTTTTTACTTTTTCAGACTACTCTTCACTGAGGTATTGTTATTTCATTTGCTTGCACCACATGCATATGTAATGGAATTTTAGGTGAAGTTCAGCGGATATAAGCGCACTAAGTTTTAATAATCGTATAAAATTTACTTGACGGCGGGAAAAAATTTGAAAGGATTATTCGCATAAATTTTTTCACGATATTTCTTTAAAGTGCCACAGTTTTTTTGCAGCAACGCAGTTGATTAATTTCTAAGCATTTTTATTTGACTTTATACTTGAAAGCTGCTGACTCATTTAGCTATAATTTAAAATACAAATTTATTTTATGCTGTAAGCGGTTTTTTAGTGCACAAAATTTTTTCTTTTAATTATTAATAATACTGAAGTTTACTATTTTCACCACTTTTCGAAAACAAAATTTAACGTTCAAGCACTTTTCTGACTAATTACTCACAAACTCCGCTGCGCATGCGCATTACATTTGATCGTTTTATTTAATTTGATATGATTTTTGGCATGCGTAAGTGCTACGCGAATACTGTCCCAGCACGAGCCGCGCGCGTCAAAGTCAAAACGGTTAATAACAGTGTCGTGCAAAGTTTCAAAATCGAAATACCACAGCAAATCACATATGACGCTGCCAGTCGCACACTTACGCACTCGTATGCAGCTGATGAGCTGTGCATGTGAGGAGTTTGCATATTTGTCATTTTTGTTGTTGGCGCTGAACTATGAGACGAATCGATGGCTCAGGCAGCAACTCGAAGACCATAAAAATACAAAATAAATAAAATGTTTGTACATATGTGTACATAAATAACAGTGAAATACCAACAACAATTTTGAAATAATAAAATATCTCAACCGAAATGGGAAATTGTGAGACACCGAGCCACTGAATATTTCTACAAAATATACCAGTATGAAATATATATCTCAACACACATGCTTACATCCGCACACATATATACTAACTTACAACAAAAAAATTGAAATGTGTATAGTAAATGCATTTGTACATATCAATTTTACTTTTAACCATCAGCACGGCGCGGCATGGCTCACTCACGCTCCACTGCTTACCTCCATTTCGCTCCTCTGCGCCGGCGCAATGCGGCTCAGTCACGCAACCGCCAACGAAATCGAAAGTGAAATGTAAACTTTGCGATTGCGATACCGTAGTATTTTTGTTTTTTAATTTGCCTTGTTGTTGTTTTTTATGAGCATCATAAAGTGAGCGCCAGCGACTGAAACTCATCGATTTTCAAGTTGATAAAAATTTGTGTGTGTGTGTGTGTGGAGCTCAATTCAACGTCCGCGAGTGTAAAAAGTTCGACAACTCACACATACATATTTACAAGTAGACGTATGTTACACGGAAGTAAATCAAATCGGCGCAAATATACGAATGAGCAATACAGAAAACACACAAGTGTGAAGAGCTAATTGGTGAGACCCACTGTTGACAGTCTGAGTTAGGCTGCGAACAAGTGTCTCATTATGGTTTTACCTATAACAGCTGCGGAGCGTGAATATATGTCTGTTAGCTGGGGTGTAAATGGTTTTCCGAAAAAAAAAAAAATTTAACAATATAATAAAAAATTAAATTTTTACCGTTAATGAGCGCACTATCGGCTGTGTGTCAAATTGTCTCCAATATATTTTTATACCCTGAACAGGATAAACTTAATATACAGAAGGAAATGTCGGAGAACCTATAAAACTTATATACATATATCTATTGTATGATCAGCATGATGAGCTGACTCGATTTAGCCATGACCGTCTGTCTGTATATACTCTAACTAGTCCCTTAGTTTTTGAAATATCGATTTGAAATTTGCATACATCCTATTCTCCCCAAGAAGCTGCTCATTTGACAGAATTGTCGATATCGGATCACTATAGCATATAGCTGCCATCCAAACCGAACGATTTCAATCAAGTATTTGTTTGGAAAACATTTTCATTTGATGTGATATCTTCACGAAATTTGGCTTGAATTGTGGTTTAAGGCAACGGTACAATCTATGAAGAAATTGTTCAGATCAGACCACTATATCATATAGCTGCCATCCAAACCGAACGATTGGAGTTAAGTGCTTGTAAAAAATATTCTGTATTTCTGAAGGGTATTAACAGCTGCGGTGCAACCGAACTTAACGTTTTTCCTCTTTTTTCATTGTTTTAGTTGTTTTTTTTGGCTTTCTACAATTAAAATTTTCCTTCCTTTAAAATGTCATATGTACAGCTGCGTATGAATACCTGAAAAATCTATAATTATTGCATTCGCTCAAGCATGTGCCCGCTTTTCATTTCCCATAAGTTTTTCATTTGCGAATTGGGGTTTTCAAAAAAATTAAATATATAGTTTTTTGCAAAAATTTCAAATTCATATTTAAGATCAGAAAACTAGGAGTATTTTGGAGCTTTGCTACTTAGAATCAATTTTTTTTAACGGAAAAAATTATTTAAATTTATTCAATAACAGCTGCACAATTTAACCGGTTCAATAAAAAAATATTCGACAAAAGCTATTTGATGAGTTTAACTTTTGTCTTTGTATTGTATGTATTCGGGGAGTAGCGATGGGACTCACCGAATGGGGTAAAGCATATGTAAGTAATAATAACAAGTCAGTATTGTAAATATAGATGATTTACCATCAAACAACTTGTCCCAAAACATGCATACACAAGTCTAATTTGTATATATATATTATATATGTATGTATATTTTTTTTTTTTTTAATTTTAACGGTTCTTTAACAAAAACCTGTACAAGGTTATTATTTAAACTTTTTCCCATCCTTCTGGTAATTCGTAGATTCCATCCCAATAGAATGTGCTGGTTTGTCGGCAAAGAATGAATCAAGCCGATTTTTGATATCCTGTTCTAATGTGAACCGTTTTACAGACTTCTTGCATCGACCGAAACAACAAATGGTGGTAATGGCGGTTTGAAGTTTGTAGACCTCATTCATGAAAATATTAAACTTGCTCTTATATTTAAGATAATTGCATATCTAATATTTTGATATATATCGGCTTGTTAGTAATAAAAATTTAATATTCCAGTCATGATAAGGATAAACATCACGTGATCCTTACTAAAAATATGCAAAAAATTATACGGAAATTTTTAAGTTTTTACTTAAAAACGCATATGCAGATATTTAGGATTACAGTCTACAAATTCTACTCTTATACTCAATGGAAATTTCGTTTTCGTTTCATAAGTAATTCGTATGCACTTCGCTGAAACAATGATGTTGTTAAATACTCAGATATCGGTACAGCCTACTAATGGTAGTAAATAAGGGGGTGTAACATCTATACATCAAATATCTTATTATTTTATGAAAATGAACTCAGTGATTTAGTACGTGGTCAAATAAAGAATAATAAAACAATGTGGGAGAATATTATTTTAGTGAGGTTTGTAGAAAATTTCCGTACTTAGTATGGAAAAGAGACAGACTTTGTTAAAGTTATGACTGTGAAACGTGGAAAAGTTTTGCTGATAGTCGAAGGTTTCTAGGTTACCATAAAGCACTAAGTTATAAAGAAATTGTGCAAAATATGCTGGCAAACTGTAAGACTCTAACAACAATTTTGAGCATAAAGATAGACTATCTCCGCAAACATCTAGATACATTTTCGAATAATCTACGAAATTAAAGTAAGAAACAGAGAGAGCGTTTCCACCAGGATCTAAAAGGGATGAAAGAATGATATCAAAATTGTTGAGTTCGTAATATCATGGCAGATTACTGCTGGTCTTTAAAAAGTCAGTGTCAGCTGGAAAATTGTAAAAGAAATGTAGAAAAGTGTAATCGTTTATATTTAAACTTTTATGAATTACACATATACCAAATTTAATTTATAGACAGGTGGCAACACCTTAAAAGTTTTTGTATAATTTAAAAGTGTTTTCTTCTATAATGTAAATATAAAAGTAATATAATTAAAATATATATATATATATATGTGGCAACGCCATTAATGTAAAATATATGCATAAATAAGCTTAACTTCATAAAATCCGTGGCACAAAATTAAACATTAGTTTTCTCGAAATATGAACAATCTAGGTATTGAAGCGAACAAAAAACTGCTAACTTTAGACATAAATAAGGAAAGACCCAGAAACCAAGCAGAGATGTGAAAAGAGAAACAAAAGTAAGCCTATTGACAGTTTAAGTGCCGCCACTAGCGGTCAGGTGCTTTTTCAATCTTTCTCACAAAAAACTAACCAATCGATCGTTCATATATTAGCAAAATAAAATGATCGCCATCTAAGTTTATTATTTGTAATAGTTGGTATTAGCACCCACGCTTTGGCCTACATAAAAAAAAATAACCAAAAATCTTTCACAATAAAAAAACCCACAACATTCGTTGCCCTGTCGATTCGAAATGACATTGAAAAATAGTTTTTAATAATGTTACTTAATGCAATGCAATTAACTGTCAAAGAACCGCAATTTGATTGCGCCATTTTACATAGTTTACAGCAAGTTTACCAAACATTAATCATCGCACCCACTCGTTCGATCAGGTGATGGTGTCAAGAGAGTTTATGTGCTAGAGTATGTGTACCGTTTTACTAAGTGTCAACGCGCAGCACAATTTTAGGGACTTGAAGGCTATTGCTACTTTGTTAGGTCCAACGCAATCGCAATGTTATGGTTTAACAAAACAAACAAAATTAAAAATAGAAAAACAAAAGCCGAAAGTGTTAATCACCAGAAGTAACGCCAAATACAGCGCGGCAGCCGACGTGCGTCCAATGCACGCTTTATTGTCGGCACTGAGCACTTTGCTGATTCACTCACAATCAGTTATGTCTAAGTGTTATGTCATTACTGAGTCGCAATAAAGTTTATGCCGACTGCTGGAAAATTGCCGAAAATTGGGCGAATGGCGAAATCGCCACAATTTTTCATTTAATATTTGCGGCAACAACACTTGCCGCTCAACAATTGCTGCTGCAATGAAAATTTTACGGCTAAAGTTGTTGAGCATTTACAAATGCGTGTTGGGCGCGTAAGCACATGTGAGTGTGTGTGTGGCTCGTTTAGGCGTCGATAGGCCTTTTCCACAGTCCGCTCTGCCGTGAAAACGAGCGCGCATCGCCATAAATGACCGCATTAACCTGAACTAAGTGCAGTTGATTTGCCATTTTATTGTTTGCGAGTGTTTCAACGGTACACACACACACTTGCACTTTCACACGGACGCGCATACGCTGCTACACACTCAGGTGAGTACGAGCTTTAGCTGAGTTCCCTCGCACATTCACCAAATTATGCAATCGGTTTTGTTATGCAGTGCACTTTACTTTGTTGTTTAATGCAAATTGTTATTGTTTTTACTTCACTGCGTACTAGTTTCGCTTGTTGCCGCATCTTCGTGCTGGCTTTTCGTTTATTTATTTATTTACTGCCGTAATTTCTGTGTCAACGGCAATCTCGCACTCTTCACTGTCGCTCTTTTCGCTTTTTTAGTTCACGGCAAAGCGCCAAAAATTGCTCGCAGATATCCATACATACATACATACATGTGTGTACATATGTTTTGTTATAGTTTAGTTTGAGTGTGTAATTGTATAAATGAAATGAATTACTCAAATATATTACTGGTTGGGTTAGTTATTTCTTCTCAAGTGCGTTTAGTTTTTGCTCGTTGTGAATTATTGAGAAATTAGGTTAAGAAGACGTTTTCTTCTTCTTCTTATTTTTAATCAAGGAAGATTTTGGCACATGCAGGGAATTGCTTTTGCTTATTTGAAGCAACGAAATTGCTTATTTATACATTATGAAATGGGCTAAATAATTACAGATTTGCAAATCAGCAACGGGTTCGTCGCTTATGTCTTTTGTTGATATAATAAAATATGTACTAAATTACATTCGATTGTACTTCGAAGTTTATGGTATTGGGTTGCGAAGAAAATGCGTTATCAATGCTTTAAAAAAAAATATTTTTCTATATTCTTCGTGGTTATAAATTAATTTCTATGACTAAGTAAGCTTCGTATATCACTTAAGGTTATATTCTATTGTGGCCGCTCTACTCTCCACTGACTTTGGCAATTGATAATAAAAAAGTAATTGCTTTTTCTCAAGTTTCGCCCTCTAAGCCAAATATGTAGTAAATATTTCATTTATAGAAATGTTATACTCTCAAACGTTTAAATCTATATTTTTAAGCATTAAAATCAAATAAACTTTTTACATTTATGGTCAAATTTAGATTGGGCAAATATTTTTTCTAACAAAATTTATTACATCAACATCGCACTACACATTCATACGTAGAGCTGAAAAAATTTAATGGTTTTAAAATAAAATATATTTTTAATAAAAATTAGTTTAAATTATAGTTACCATATAAAGCGATACACCGATTGTGAAGATCTTCCAGCTAATCGATAACATTTTCGTATTACGATTTATCATTTACTTCAAAATATTTGGATCTCTGTCAATGTTTCTAATTATTTCCATCTAAAATTTTTTTAATGTCCAAGCACAAGAAGAAGTCATCGGGGATCAGGTGTCTAGAATATATCGAAAAAATACAATACAATAGTCATTGTATGGTGTTCCCAGTCTGATGGCAACTCTGCCAAATGGACAGTGAACTGTTAGCACTCCAACAGAGTTCTTATTTCATTTCATTTAAATTTTAATAACTGACATGCGCGACCCATATAACATTCACGCCATCTTGCCTGCTTATTGAGCAAGTTAGGAATTGACTCCGCCATAACTCAGTGATATCTATAACATGTTTGTCGTCTAAATAAGTAGCTAGAGGCATATAAACTCCCAGTGTGTTGTTGTTGAATTCTGTCGAGTTGACAGTCCTTGGCCGCGTAAAAATCCGGGTCCGTTTCGGTTACGTAGAGCCCGACTATCGTGGGAACTGCATATATTGTATATTCATCTCTTTTATCGGCGTCTAATTGTAGAGTGGTGCCTATTTCGGCTAGTTCATCAGCTTACAGTTTTTTTTTTTTTGTGACTCTGAGTTGCAAGTAGCTGTCTCGATTGTAAGCACGCGGGGCATATATTTTATATAGAGCTTACGCATATTTAAATAATCACAATTTACATCAGCTATCTCGATCTATTTTATTTTAAAGTCATTCACAGTGATTTTGCGTATTTTCTAATATTTTCGGCCACAATATATTCTACTGAATGTCTTCTACGTTCCACGTCTTCGGTAGATTTTTTTACCAGTAAGACATACTAAATATTGGTTTCAGTAGATTTTTTTCATCAAAAAGTGTATCAAGAGTACAAGAAACATCATTTTAACACATTAATGGAAAATACCAAAATTTGCGTCACTCTAAGACAATGTCTCACAAACCGATCCTCAGAATGAAGGTTAAATATAACTTAAAAAAATATGGATTTTATATATTCTAAAGAAATATTTTCCTTTTATGTTGTATCTTAGGACTTTAAGTACACGTTCAACTCGACTCTATAATCGTAGCAATATGAAATTATTATCTACTGCTCTCAAACTTCTTACAAGAATTTCAACTTTTAATTACAACTGTTAGCAAATATACAAAATTGTAATGGTTTTGAATCAGTTACTAACATTTTGTATACTACTACTGGGCGACTAAAGCGAGTATAGCAGCCGTTAGGCAATATTCAAATTTAATTTCTGCATAGCCACGGGCTACTATATTTTCAGTGTATTATGTATTACTACGATTCTTTGTTTTCATAGGTTCTCCCTAGCAGCTTCGGAGTAATCTCTCTCGGATATAATACACTAATGCCAATGCTTTTTCCAATCCTCGAAGTACTTCTGAAAGCGCTTTTCCTCTTCAGCAGCTCTTTCTTCGATTCTGACTTAAACTAATCAATTGTGGCAAAAAAATTGATTGGGCCTTGGTTTCGACGTCATAACCATATATGACTCATCTCAGCTTGGTATATGATGTACTTTAATATTATATATACGATATATTTCAAAGCACAACGATTTCATAACAAAGTGATCCAGCAACTTGCCACAAAAATGCGGAAGAAGGGAAATGGGGAAAAACCGACACATTTAAATGTTTTCGCTCTTGTTGCGGCTTTTACGAGTGTTGTTGTGCCATTTTTGTTTACCAATACAAAGTTACTGCTAACTGCTGTAAATATTTATACATACATACATATGTATGTGTGTATATGTCCATCTTGAAACCTACAAATCTACACTTCCAAGCAACTAAGTAATTTAATGATGTTGTTTTTGTTGTGATTGCAATACGTACATGTCGCTTCGAACATGTGCAGCTGTCGCAGGTCATTTAAGCTTGTAAATATTTTTATTGACTTTTATTATTTAGGTTGCAATTGTATTTTCGGTTTTCGGCTCGTTTTTGTTTCGCTGCATCTTCGTTTTACTCATACTTGAAAACAAAAGTGGCACAAGCAACGCGAATTTATATTGTTGTATGTCTAATATTTATTTTCTGTACATATACCATATGCATATAATATATATAGTAAAGATATGAGGCGAATAAAATTTTTATAACTATTGCTTTTCGTTAGTTGCTTGTATTCAATTAACTACTTAATAATCTGACATTTTTTTTTTAAATTTATTTCCTTTTCTGCATTTTACTTGTTGTGTCTATGTATACTATTAAATATTAGGGTAGAACACATAAAATCCTCATCTTCAAGTATAAAGCCGGCCAAGATTACGTATAACACATATGTATATATATCTTTCGACTATGCTCATGATCGTGCTCTAAATAGTTATCCCCTGATAACTTAACTTAAAAAAAAATAAGAAAAAAACGTTTAATATAACACTATTCACAAATAAAATATTTACCATACAATAATTGATTTTTATCGGTCAGCTTGTATGTCAACTATATGCTATAGTAGTCTGAATTTAAAAGTTTCTTTGAAGATTATACCTTTGCCTTAGGCAATAATCCATGCCAAATTCCGGAAGGCTATCTCGTCAAATAAACAAGTTTTCCATACAAGGACTTGAGCTGAATAGTCATCAAAAGAACAGTTTCTTGAGGAGAAAAGCATGTGGCCAAATTTTCAGATCGATATCTCAAGGAATACTAAAAACTTCCTTTTGGTTATTACAAACTTCTTGCCAAACTTAATATACGCTGTTCAGGGTATTAAAAAATAAATAAATAACCGATCAGTGGTAGATGATCATCTAAATAGAATATCCTTTTTAGCAAAAAGTTTGGCTTTTCATAAAGTAAAGAAAAAAAATGTTTCGGATTATTAGAGACAAAATTCTTTTTATTTTTCTTCTAACAATATAAACTTTATGAACATTAAAATGTTTTAAGAAAAAAATTTAAATATCCACATAAATCATAAGAAACTTACACCTTTTATTGGTAACTAAATAAACTACATTTTTCAACAGAATATTTTTTATTGTATGCATACTCCTTGTTGGTGAGAATAAATATAATAAAATGATTTGACATTACTTGGAAAATATTCAATAATTTCTAACTAAATTAATTTCTTAAAAAAATTATAAAAATACTAATTAATAAACTACACTAAAAAATAAGCAAGTCTTGACTAACATATTGAAAATTATTTTACGCTAACTTTTATTTATTTAACATTCAATACTATATTGCTAAAGGTTTTGCAATAAAACTGAACTAAGTCTCAATATAATGTATATTTGTTGAAGATTCGGTGCAATGGCGTCGCTTAGGCATGTCGCACAATCATTTCCTGTATCCATTTAGCAGTCATTTGTATATTGTGATAAATGCCCGGTTGATGATCGACGCCACAACCAAAACCGGCGCTAGTGATGCCAACCAGTATGAAACGGCCGCGTTCTTTGATAATCAGCGGGCCACCAGAGTCACCTGTGAGACAGATTAAAAAAATGTTGGTAAACGTTGTGTAGAGAGTTAGCCTAAAAGTATGCAATGCAGTCAAATATGTTTCACTGAAGTGAACTGTTTAACAGAAAATTTGAAAACTTAACAGTGGTTTGGAATAGCTAGCTGGGAAAGAAAATAAATTGCAGATACTGGTCAAATACATATCAAATAGCAAGCTCTAATCAGGTATCCATTATCAGGTATCAACCGAGTTCCGAATATGTTTAGATCTACCATCTACCAGTCTAAAACTGTATGGCAACCTTTCTCCACCTTTATGTGCCTTCCTTTCTCATTCAACTGTTCCAACTTACCCAAACACGCATCCTGATGCCCATCCGAGTGTCCCGCACAAAACATTTCGCTATAAAGTTCCACATTGATACGTTTACTCTCGTGCCAGCGTATGCAATCAAAGGTAGCTGATGCAAAAAATATGCAAATGTTGAATTTTTCTATAAAAGTGATAGTTAGCAGTTGCTTACTGATGATTGGTACAGTTGCTACTTGCAACATATTAGTGCCCGTGTGACCCATACTGGCCTCAGTTTTGCCCCAACCGGCGATCAAGCCTTTACGACCAATTAAAGTGATGGGGAATTGTGGCAGGCAAATGGGAAGAATGTGATCACTGCAATAAAAATTTAGATATAAAATGTGTATAAATGAATGATAATTAAGATTCACAATATTTTTATAAGTTTTTTTTTCGCATTATATTGTTTTGCAAAGGATTTTTACATAGACACATTTAAGCCAGCTCGCTTTTGAAAAAAAATTATTTAAGCCTATTTAGGTTTCGAATATTGACTGATAAAATTATTGAATACGGCAATACCATTGTCCAAATTCGAAATCAAAAATATCGAAATTTAAGTCGAAAATTTTTAATATTTAAATATGAGAGCAGAACTTAGTTTCCTGATATTCAAAATCGTATTTATTTCTACTTTTCAAACTCCTACTTTCTTCTCCTACCTAAACCCCGTTGGCTTGGCTAGCTTAAGTAGCGCCACATCGAAACGATCCGGCTGCGTCATACGAAACTGAAAGCGCGGATGTACAATCTTCTGTATGACTTTATGCTTCTCCACCGGCAGCGGCTCATGTATATGCCCCAAATTCTGTGTATCCAATTCGCCCAGAAACACTGAAATGTCCGGTAGACGCGCCTGTTGTATGCAATGTGCCGCCGTCGCGACGATATTATGTGAAACCAAAACACCGCCACATTGAAACTCCGCTATACGTATATGCGCCTGCCAAGGATATTCGGCGAAATTCGCAGTCCTGCCACCAATGATGCGCTTTTGCAGTGTACGCTGTGCGGCGCGTGGCAAACCGCATTCGAGCTGAAAGTGAAGGCGATAAAACACACTGAGATCGAAAGTATTAAAGACTTCACAAACCTTGATGAACACGTCATTCTCATTGCGTCGCTTTAGCATTACGCGTTTGGGTAGCACGCTACCACCAACACCACTGCTACTAACACCTATGCCACTGGGAGCACTAGCCGCCAGACGCTTATAGTCAGTGAGCGTGTTACTTACGAGATTTCCAGCAGATGGATGATCGTTATTTCCCTGGTAAAGTCCATACTGTACCGCTGCTGCTGTGATGGCTATATTGTTCGCTGTATTGGCGTTGCCACTGCCGCCGATGCAACAGGAAAATAACCATTTGTTGGCGCCACAGCCTTTTGCGTGGCGCCCACCTTGCAGCCAACAGGAGAAAGACAATTTACACGGCCACACGCTGTTCTGGTGCACACACTCGCTGGGAACGCCTAAGATGGTGTTTAGAATGCCTGAAGAAAGACGACAATTATGATCATATTTACACTACTATTGTGGTGGCATAGCAGGCAAATGAGCCTTAACATGCAATGGGTTGAAATTTTGCGCAGAAAATGTCTTGTGTCATATTAGAGCCCTACTTTTTATGATATGCTTAAATAAAAGTTATGCTTTGGTCCTTGAAAGTTCTGCTGCTACTCGTGTTTCGAACAAGTCAAAATTACTTCTGTTAGAAAATTCTTTGCTCTTTGTAAAGCTTTATCTAGATATATCTCTGTTGAGCCTTTTCAAAATAATAGAGCTGAACTCGAACGGAATTAGCGGATGGATATTAAAGGGGAACTAGTCCAGAAAAAGCATGCAATGTTTGCTTAGCAGTTGTAGCATCCTCTTTTTGATCACGAAGAGCACATATTATAATCATCATCATAAATTGGATGACTGATTTGGCCACTTAGTCCTCTATATACTTAAGCCAATCCAAAATCACTTTAACTGAGTGATCTGATCTGAACATTTTCTTCCGATTGTACCGTTGCTTTGGAAAATAAGCCATGCCAAATTACTATTGTCTTTATAATTTGTTGTGCCAAAGGAGTAATATTGCTAATAATAGCTATCTAAGATTCGTCAATATATAGAAAATATCCAATCGAACAAGCAAATAATATAAATAACATTTACTGGCATAAGTCAAATAGAAATCGAACAGCACAAGGTTATGTCTCCTTAATCAGCTATCTGTGAGTTCTCTTGTATTTATTTTACATTTTTTCTGTTTTCAGAAGTAAGTTTTGGACTACTTATTGTTTTGTTAAACTCGTATATTCTATGAAATAGAAGATATAAACCGATTTATCCAAAAAATTTCTGATCGAAAGTGAAATAATGTGCCTGCCGTGACATGAAAGTAGACCACGGAAATAATAAATAAATTCTCATTACTAAAAAGACTGACTCAAAAATCGAACTTGAAAACGAATAGGCGTAAAAGTCCCTTAGTTTGGTGTTGGATATGCCACAATATGTTTGACTTAAAGGCATTTTCCAACTAAATACACAAAAAACGTTTTATATCTGATGATGATTTCTAAACCAGTTAAGGGTTATACCAGCTCATTAATTATTATAGATTAGTTTAGGAGTCAAGCCACATAAGTTCGCTATATGTACTTACGTGTCTGTAACAAATAGGCTTTTTACGATATTTTTTTGCTATTTAACACCTTGAATAATTTTGTAATTTGCTGAACCTTTACTAAATTCTATGACAAGAATGAAATATTGTTAATCCACTTACCCGCATCAACTAGTCTGATGACTTCGCATAGATTCCAACAGTGGCCGATGATGAGTAGCGACCATATATTCCATAGGTGCATGGCGTGTTAACGATTTCGCTTGCATGTGTGCGTATTTCTAATAAAAATGTCTGTATGTGCTGTAAACACATCAAACGAACGCGCACTCACATAAATGCTTAGCACGAAATTATTGACTGCGACATGTTCATACAAATTGATGGCGCTATCAAAAGCAAATAAAATGGAATGATCTGCAAAAACAATAAACAAATAAGCGTGAGTCAGCCTACAGTGTACAATGCGTAAGTGCAATGCAAAAAAACAAGTAAAATTAGAAATAATGGCGGTGGAGTAAAAGGCTGTCGGATATTATGAGTAAAGAAGCCATAGGAAGTTAACAAAGGCACACACATGTGCAATGATGTGTTCAAACGGGTGTGCTTGTCAGTGATATATTCATATAATTGTCTATAGTATATAAACAAACAACAACAAAAAACAAAAGTGTTTCACTCCATCAGTTGAAGCCTTGCACATTTCTTGTGCCAATGAAAGCATGACCATTTGTTGTTATCATCTTTTATACCCTGAATATCGTTGATAGACACCTCTACAGACCTTACCGTTACAATTAAGAGCTCATACTTGGATAATTTTCTTACAGTTGTCTATCAACTAATTTTTCAGAGTACGAAGCGAAAAAAAATCTTTCGTTTTATTTACCCACCTTAATATATGTATAATATATACACAAGTAATCGGCACAACGAGCTGAACCCCCTTAGGGCTGTCCTTCTGTATATCTGGTTCCTTAGTTTTTGAGATATCGACTTGAAATGTTGCACACCTCCTTTTCTCTCCAAGAGATTGCGGATTTGTCGGAACCGCCGATACCGGACAATACAAACTGTATTAGCGAAATCAAGTTCTTCTATGGAAAACTTTTTTACTTTACGAGATATCTTCACGAAAATTGGCATGTATTATTGTTTAAAACAAAGAAATGATTTTCAGAACTTAGTTTAGATCGAACCACTATAGTATATAGCTTCCATCTACACTAAGCGATCCAAATCAAGTTCTTGTATGCAAATTTTTTTTGTTTGTAAAGGGTATTATAGTTTCAGTGCAGCCGAATTTATCGTTTTGTGCTTTAAATATTTTTTTGCTATTTTGTTTTGTTATTTTGCTGCCCATTCGCCTGCCCATTCGTGTACTCACTCATTGTGTTGCTGTGTGCTTCACTTGTATAAACATAAATCAACAACATCTGTACATATGTATGTATGTAAGTATGTGTGTGTGAATTCATTCACTGCTTTTGTTATTATTGCTTTGTTTAGTGAAAAATATGTCGCCGTCGTCTGTCATCAGCTGCTCGTTGACTTGACAACTGAAAGTTCTTATTATTGTCGTTATTTTTATTATTTTCATTGTTGCACTGATGCCAGCTTTTGCAGCTAGAAAACACCTTCTTTGCTCCAGATTTTTACATCTTCTTTTTATTATTTTTATATTTTACTCTTTTCAGATTTAATGTTATTCGCAGTTAACTGGTTTATATCAACAATATTCTTGCTTTGCTTTGCTAGTACATATGTAGCGAATATATATTCAAGCTTTATTATATACTTACAATATATATATACATAATTATAAGAAGTAAAAGAAACAATTATGGAAGATTCGCTGCTTGGTTTAGATATGAGATTTACGTGTTAATATTAGAGTTTTGAAATATTATTAGTCGTTGTTAGTCTTTTAATAATCAGACCTTAAAAATAAGTTTGTGAAAGAAACATTTTATATAATTATAATAAAAAAAAATCTAGGAAGTTCTTTCAGCAGTCAAAGCTTTGAATTTTATCGGTGCGATTTTTCTTTTGAACAGCTCTTCAGTGAATATTATATGAGAACTATCTCATTTCCTCTATTCGGCAAATATTTTACAAAAAATTAAGTTCCGATTGATCAAAAAGAAGGTTAAGCTGTTCATACCCAAACCATCGAGGTGAATGTTTTATGTTAACAGGAATAAGATTTTGACAGTAATTCCGATTTTTTAAGCTACTCTAAGGTGTAGACTTTTTCACAAAAGACTACTGTTTATCTGGAAACCCGCCACCTCTTTTCGGAGGTCCTTCTAGAGATCGGCTTCAGGAACAAGGGAATCCAAAATTTTAAAATGAGTCGCCGATTATTAAAGTACACGAAACTCGGCAAATGTATAGTTTCTTATTTATTTATTAAATAAAAGGCCTTTAAATAGATAAATAAATAAATAAATAAGTCAATTTAGAAACAATTCTGAGAGACGGAAGATATTCGGACCCTTACCCTATTCCCTTTTCCGATTACTTTGTAAAATTTCAGTACAAACTCTCAAAAAAATAAAAACAATTATTATCAATGTTTTCGTGGCAATAATTTCTTTAGCAACACAATAATTTCACCACGAGACTAACTTTCAATGGTAAAAATTGCCAGATGGAAATGTTCACAATTTTAGCAATAGCTGACAAATCTTACTAAGAATCACAGCTCGGCTGAGTGCGAGAAGATTTATTTGCAGAGAGTTTGTGCATAAGGTATAATACTTGCCTTCTTCTTGGCTTGGAAAAGCCTAAAAAAATTCAATACGCAATACATATTTGCTTCAAACATGGCCTTCTATAATTATGGTTCCGCTAAACATTTCAAAAATATCCTTAATTGAGTCAATTAGCAAACCGTCTGTAATACAAGTATACAGACATATAAAAAAATTGGCTAATTAGAACAATAAAGAACTATGGTTAGTAATTCAAATTCAATTAAGTGGTAGTCATTTCAAAGGTACTGTCATTTCGCGTCGTTTTCAGTAGATGTCATTTGTTTTAGCGTGAACAACGACTTGTTTCATTCATTGAAAATGTCGAAATTTGTACAATACCAGATAAAGTGTTTTTGCGGGGAGTTCTTCTTCATTACTTTAACATGAATAAAAGTGCTACCGAAAACCATCGTATTTTACTGGACGTTTATGGTGACCATGCTTTAGCCGAGCGAACGTGCCAAAAGTGGTTTGCACGGTTTAAAAGTGGCAATTTCGACTTAGACGACGGAGAACGACCCGGTCAGCCAAAAAAATTTCAAGACCAAGGATTGGAGACATTGCTCGACGCAGATGCATGCCAAACGCAAGAAGAACTTGCAAAAGTATTAGGAGTTGATCAAGCAACCGTTTCCAGATGATTAAAATCATTAGGATTCATCCAGAAACTTGGAAATTGGGTGCCTTATGAATTAAAGTCAAGAGACGTCGAACGTCGATTCTGCATGTCGGAAATGTTGCTTCAACGCCACCAAAAGAAGTCATTTTTACATCGGATTGTCACAGGCGATGAAAAATAGATTAATTATGATAACTCAAAGCGCAAGAGATCGTATGTGAAGCCCGGCCAGCCATCGACATCCACGGCAAAGCCGAATATCCATGGTGCCAAGGTTCTGCTATGTATTTGGTGGAACCACAAGGGTGTGCTCTATTATGAGCTATTGAAATCTGGTCAGACGATCAATAGGGACCTCTACCGAAACAATTGATTCGTTTGAAAAAGGCCATCGCGGAAAAACGACCAGAATATGCGACCAGACACGAATCAAAAATTTTTAATCATGACAACGCTCGGCCACATGTTGCAAGGCCAGTTAAAAACTATTTGGAAAACTGTGGGTGAGAAGTTCTACCTCACCCGCCTTATAGCCCAGACATAGCACCTTCCGATTACCACTTGTTGAAATCAATGCAGAATGTCCTCACCGGAGTACGCTTCATCTCAGAACAGGGTACCAGAAATTGGCTCTATTCTTTCTAGACCTCCAAGCCGGAGAAGTTCTTTTGCGATGGGATCCACAAACTGCCAGAAAGATGGGCAAACATCGTAGCTTCCGATGGGCAGTACTTTAAACATTAAATGTATAAAAATTTTTCATAATAAAGTCTTAATTTTTGAAAAAAAAACGCACGAATTAATGCATACACCAATTAACCCATAAATCTTTAAGTGAATGGTGCGACTTTTAACTTATTAGATTGATTAAATAAAGTTCAATTAAGTTATAAAATCAACTTGCTTTTTTTTTTTTTTGGTTTTTATCGAAACAAGCAAATCAATGAATCAGTGTCTTATTCACCATAGAATACTGTACTTGACATACAACCCGCGAAAAAATTGTTATTTCTGAGAAGTACTAAAGTTATTAAGCGAGTGCATGAGTACTTAGCTACAGTCGTTTCATAAATTGGCAAAATATAAAACTAAGTTACAACTCAATCAAAAAAAAAATTAGAAAAGTGAATCATATATTGCCGTATCTAATAACTCAGAACAAAAAACTTCTCAGTAATGCCAATACTGTACTTATACATAAGCTATTAATTAAGATATACAAATTGCGCATCACTTACAGCAACTCGATGCAATTAGTGATTACTAAAGGGCGCCGATATAAAAGAGGCTTTCATCACCGAAATGAAGGTAGTCTTACTAACCTTTTCAAACGTAATTTCTATTTCCTTGTGAACTTAAAGATGGGCAACAAAATCTGCCTTATTTTCCTCATGATTTTTACATACTTTACGGCTATGGCATTAGCACGTCCACAGGGTTCGGGTGAGTGTTGGAAAATATATATCACTCTGGGAGATTTATATACATATTTATATGCCTAAAGGTACTTCTTGCGGCCCAAATGCACAATTCACCACTTGCGGCACCGCTTGCCCGGCCAAATGCAGTGATAATCCTTTGTTGGGCACAATTTGCACGGCACAGTGCGTCGTCGGCTGTGAGTGCAATTTCGGATATGTGCTGAACGATGCGGGCGAATGTCTGAGGAGAAGTGAATGTTAAGCGAAACGAAAACACATGACGCTATCTTTACAGTTATGTTTAAAAGGAAGATATTACTACTTTGTAACTTTTTCTTATAGACGAACAACGAATTAAATTGTCAACCTCAACTGCAACTTGACATGGGTATAAATCGGTTTTTATTATTTTTGAAACCAAAAGTGTAGGAAGTTTGACGTCAAAAATCAAAAATCAATGCTATACAATATTTGACTGTGGCTACCAGATTTAATAAAAATATTGTTACTAAGTGCAATAGGTTTGACTAATATACCATCCTTTCTGGCAGGTATTATGTTTGGAGATATTTACTCGTTTCAAAAAATATAAATATTTTAGAAGAATTTTCAGAAGTGCACTTTAAGAGGGAGGAATATTATTTGAGTCAGTCGCTGCGGTCACTTGCCCGAAATCATCTTTAAAACATAAAGGCAAACCTTTATCTTTATAACAAAGCTAAATCTTGGACATATTATTAAATAAGGTTTTTTAGAAAATCACCTTTATTTTCACTTTTAGTGTTATTCGCAGTTAACTGATTTATGTTAAAAATGTTGGTGCCCCTCTATTCCAGTACATATGTAGCATATATATATTATTTCCGCAGTCAAAAAATCATAAATATTAGAAGGCATTGTTTGAATTTTACCAGTGCAAATTTTCTTTCGAACAGTTCCTCACCGAGCACTATCTTGAAATCATTTTATTTCCTCTATTTGACAAATATTTTACAAAAAAACTAGAATCCATTGAATCAGTAAAATGATTAAGCTGTTCATACTTATACCAAAAAAGTCGATTTTTATTGCATATATATCGATTGTACTTATATTTACTTCTTCTAATTATTTAATAATTTATTATATTCTTCTAATTTGATTTCAAAAATATATTTTTTAAGATAGCTAGATCTCTGTACTCATCTACATTAATAATACTTTTTTTTGGCTTTTTGATTTGGGTATAATTTTAAGCAGAAAAATCTTGCTCACCGCAAGACATCTTTTTTAATTTTTTTTTATTTATTTATTAAATAATTTGCTCTCCAAAAAAATTCACGAAAAACGCGTTTTTTCTGACTTGCAAGACTATAAAACTCCTTACGTCAATTTAGAAACAATTCTGAGATACGGAGGATATTCTGACCTTTTTCCTTTTTGCGATTACTTGGTAAAATTTCAATGCAAACTCTCAAAGAAATCAAAACAATTATTATCAATGTTTTCGTGGCAAACTGTCTGTAATACATTATACAGTAATTAAGCGGTGAGTTAATTAGGTCATACATCTTTGATTGAAGTGGTTCGACCAGATTTATGTTAATGAATTTTATTTACGTTTCTTGGCTCGACTTTTAACTTATTTAAATAATTACCCTAATGACGTTCAATTCCATGAAAATCGATTTGAGTTTGTTGTGAAAGTTTTTGTTTTGGCCTTTGTAAAAACAAGCGATAAATAAATCAGTGCCCAATACACCACAGAAAACTGTACTTAAACAAGTGCCGCGTCAAAGTATTTATTATGTCTGAGAAGTACTAAAGTTATTAAGCGAGTGCATGAGTAGTTATCTACAGTCGTTTCATAAATAAGTCACAACTAAATTAAAAAAAAAAATAGAAAATTGAATCATACATTGCCGTATCTAATAACTCAGAACGAAAAACTTCTCAGTAATGCCAATAATGTACTTGGACATAAGCCATTAATTAAGATATACAAATTGCGCATCACTTACAGCAACTCGATGCACTAAAGGGCACCGATATAAAAGAGGCTTTCATCACCGAAATGAAGGTAGTCTTACTAATCTTTTCAAACGTAATTTCTATTTACTTGTGAACTTAAAGATGGGCAACAAAATCTGCCTTATTTTCCTTATGATTTTTACATACTTTACGGCTATGGCATTAGCACGACCACAGGGTTCGGGTGAGTGTTGGAAAATATGTATCACTCTGGGAGATTTATATACATATTTATATGCCTAAAGGTACTACATGCGGCCCAAATGCACAATTCACCACTTGCGGCCCCGCTTGCCCGGCCAAATGCAGTGATAATCCGCTTTGCTTAGCAATAATATGTGACTCCAGCTGTCGGTGCAATTCCGGATATGTGCTGAACGATGCTGGCGAATGTGTGAGGAGAAGTGAATGTTAACCGAATTTTAGTTTTGTTAATTACAATAATGCACACCGCTATACTGTATAATGTTTTCTTAGAATCATATTACTTATTATTTCAAATAAGACATAAAAATTAGCGATACCAATAAACTGAAATGTCGAAAGTTTTGTCTCAAGTGTTTTCGTGGTAATGGAGTACAAGAGACTTCAGACAAGTTCCATCCCCATACCTTAATTTCTGAAATAGTCAAAGATCGTTTTTAATAAATACACTCTGAATTCTCTAAAAACACCGTTATACAGTATGCGAATGCGGCCATCGGCATATTTATTAAAAAATTCTTTGCCAAGTGCACCATGTTTTACTGATACACCTTTCTTTCAGGTAGGTATTTTGTCGGTATATGTATACCTATTTTCTGCTTTCAAAAAAAGAAAAAACCGTTTTTTAGGCGATTTTTAACAAGGAGGCGAAAACACGTAAATTTTAAAACAATATATTTAGTTTTTTTTTTTTTAATTTTTAATTATATGCATGAAATTAAATTTTTTTTTTCAATTTGGTTTTTGGGATTTAAATTTTTTTTATTTTTTAATTTCGTATATGGGATTAAATTTTTCTTTTTTTGTTGGACTAAAAGTTTTAAAGTTACTTTTAATTAGAATTTTCAATATTACAAACTTAATTCAAATGTTAATTCAATCATTCTGATTCTGCAACCCTGAATGTGGCAAATATTAGTAACGAGTTTGGGCGCGATCAGAGGATTATATACCCAATTTTGTAATAAATTATATTCGCGAAAGATAGTGAGTGAAGCTACCTTCAATATCAACCATACTGGTCTTAAATAAGACAATATATTTTCACATTACCATCCATATAATACTAACACTCAAATAATGCTAGTTCTAATCTAAATGTGATCTTGACACAGAATATATTAAAGCATACGTAACTCTCGCACTGACGCTATCTGCTTCGTTATCAATTAACAAACCCACTAGAGTAATAAAAACAGCATCAGCTATGGTCTGGAGAAGATAAGCGATTGAGAACATCGCGGCAAAAAGTTTCAATAAGCGATAAGTGACAAATCACAATATAGATTAAATGCGTCATTTGAGAATTTTTAAAAGTTTTGCTTTTTTTGACAAATACTTTCAGTATTTCGTTGACAGCTCTTATTGTTTGATAGGTCATTAAATCAAGTTCCCATATTTTGCTTCAATCAACATATTACTAAACACATACTTGTGGTTAATGGCGTATGCATTATCTACTGATTTATTGTTGATTAAAGGACAAAATATGCTTATTAAGCGAATAATTATAACTATATATCAATTTAAAGTGCAGTCGAGAGGGTAATACAGTTGTGGTGTTTCTGTGATTTACATTTTCCGTTTTGCATTGTAAATCACACCAAAGGCAAATAATTAAATAATCTTGTCAATGGGTGTGAAAATTATTTTGAATTGTTTATACAAATATATATTTTGTTGCATTGTTATTAACTGTAAAAAAGCAAAATAACACCAGTAAATTAGTGATTATTGCAAATATGAGTTAGTGATATAAAATATTCGATATCCGGAGATCTGATATGAACATTTTTTTTATGGATTATATATAAAAATTTAATTATGTACGAATCCTCATTTTCACTTTTTACGTTCATTTGCAAAGCTTTCATATGTAGAAGTGTTGTAAAGTAGTTTAAGAAATATGCTAATTTTATAATTGTTTATTAAAAGTGGAATTGTTAATCTTTTTTATACAATATATGCTACTGATATAAATAATAATGAATTACGTTATAATAATTTTCTGGAAAAGGAGGAGGGGAAATCTATTATATTTATGCAAACTTGTTTATTGGTGGGTGGTTTTAGTTATATGTAGAAGCGTTGGATTCAAACCTGGTGTTATTTAAAACCAATTTTTGTTTTTGAATTTATCAAGAAGGTTTCATTAAGTTATATCTCTTTAAAATTTCAAAATATTTTCACATTTCCTCTAAATATTAAAAAACCTTTAAAAATATTTTCATGCGCGGAGAATATTGTCATATTAGCAACGGGTAACCAATTGATTTTTCGATTCGAATGAAAACTGTAGTTATCTCATATCTTGCATACTCTTTTTTGCTAGTTGTAATTAATATCTAAAATATTTGTCATCTCTCTGTCCGAGAGCCTGCAAGTCGTTTAATCAGAGAAGTTTTGTCACATTTGCTTTTTGGAGAATGATTTGATTTTCAATACGTAACTACCCAATAATATGGCTGACTAAGCATCCATGTTAGCGTGACAGCAACGGCAAACAGAGCTGATATTCACTGGCAATCCAGAAATATGGAAAGGTTGATATCGAGAAAGCCAAATGTAGGCTTAAAAGAAATTGTTGAGTGATAAATTTGGATTTAATGGATTATGAAATAAATTTATGAATAGCAAATAAATAAAAAAATAAAATTAAAATATATTTATTAAAATTAAAAAGTCCAGATTATAAAAATTAGATACAAGTTTTAAGAATCTCTTTCCTCACACAAGTGAGTTCAAGAAAAAAAAATTCTCACTCTAGCAATTAGTGACAATTTAAACAGTTACTTTCATTAATTTGCTAGTTTGCCGCTATTCTGGTCTGCCTATTTAAATATGAATTCAAACAGCTTCCGATCATAGAGTTATATACACCGGTTTGTTATATGCAATGAAAATGTAGAATCCTCAAGTGCTTTTTTTTTATCAATTTTTATGATAAATTTTATAAATTAAAAGACGGAGAGTAATCTTTTTTATATTTCCAGAATCGGAGTTTCTTTCTAGAAAATGGTTAAATTAAAATTTTGACAAGTTGGCACAGAAGCTGCAGCTTCTTCAAATAACCTGAAATAATTGAAACATGCAAATTTTTCATCCCATAAATGCCAAATAGGTAAGTAAATTATTAAATTTTTCCACTTTGTTCTTAATTCAATGGCCACATGCTGTATTGCTGTGAGTATCTGCCTATGAATTAATTTTTGGTTTTTGTTACTATTATTATATTTGACAAAATATGTGTCACCATCGTTTGCCATCAGCTGCTCGCTGACTTGAAAGCTCTTATTATTGTTGTAGTTTTTGTTGTCTTTATTGTTGCACTAATGTCAGCTTTTGTAGCGACAAAAACAACTTCTTTGCTCTAGATTTTGGCATCATTATTTTTATTATTTTTACTTTTTATGATTTTCTGTACCGTTTTTTTTGTTATTCGGAGTTAACTGATTTATATTAACAATGTTGCTGGCGCTCTTATTGTTGCTTGTATGATATGTATTGTAATAGTATACTATATTCTTGTACTTCAGTTTTGTTATACACTTTCATACACATATTTATGAAGTAAAAGTAAGAATTGTAGAATATCTGAAACTCATTTTAGATATGAAATATATGGATTTCGAATCAGAGGCCGGTGATTTTCAAGACCAGAATCAAACCAAAAATTAGTTTTATTATTTGTAGAAAAATATTTCTATGAAATTATTTCAAAAACACGCAATTCATAAAGTTTGAAATGTTTGCTGAAATTGATTGCTTGTTTTGTTTGTAAAGAAATATTTGAATTTTATGGTATATCTGATTAAGGAAAGCGTATCATTTATTTGTCCTTCATGTTTAGTGCAGACTTAAGCCAGCCCGAAACACCATTTGATGTCACATCGTTCTTCATTCAATACCCACTACTAATACTATTGTTGTGTTCACTTCGTTGATACTAATTTGACAATATTTCTATTATGGAGTGAGGTAAGAAGGTAGGTGGATGTCTAACGTCGCAACTAGACCTTTAGGAGGCCCATTGTGAAATCACCGCGGACTAAAATCCCTCACTTTATTATGATCTCTCTGAACTAAACTGTGCTTCCCGGTGATGAAGTTCATCAATTCCAGATTCAAGACCCCATCGATTCTTTCTATCTAAAAAAAGATTTGTTTTTTTCTTATTAACCTATCGTTTTAATAAGAAATTTGCAATTTATTTAATTGCGCTATCAACTGGATTGTAAAATATAAGCAAACATACAGCAAGCATACATCTCCATATACTTCAGTGAAGAGTATTCTCTACTTAATTGATTAAGTTTAATTTATTCACGCTTTTCTGGTCAGATTGTTGTATCTAAAAAGTATACTGTTCTTCGTGATGGATTCTTTCTTTGGTTTCAATCGTAACCTCTTACGAACTTTTTAACGGAACATTTTTTTGTTTTCTAATTTTATCATTGATTTGTACGAAATGTTCTGCGAATTCATATTAATTAATTAGTACAATTAAGAGAGTTATACAGAAGTCGAGTAGGTAGGTATATATTTAAATTTTTCAATTAAAATTTCATTTGGTAATTTCGTTCAATCGAAGGGAAACCCTTTGAAAAATCTCGTATGGGTGTGAAAGTTATTGAATTGCTTAATTGTGTTTATACAACTATTTTGTCGTATTCTCTATATTTTGTGCGAATCAATAAGTGGAAACTAAGCAATCAGTGCTAATGATTATTGTAAATATGAGTATGTCGTATTTCGGACGATTCATATAGAAATATTAGGGTGTGTGACATATGAAAAGTTTTTTTTTTGATTTGGAATGATTTAACAGAAATTAAATTCAGAAAAGACCCGTGTTAACATTTCTTAACGAATTATAAATGTTTTATTATTTACCATCTGAACCGGACTGACAAAATACCACATTTTCACGCACTTTAGTACAGATCGTTATTATCGCCTACAAAAAGGCTCTTGAGCCAACAAGCATGCCAACACTTAAATATATTTCCATACACTTGTTATAACCCTCGCTGGGATCCAGCGAATTTTGGTTTTTCGGTTCGGCTAATTTTAAAGCTCGATTCGTTAGAATACTGTTTTTCGTTATATTCATAAACCGACCTGTCTTACATAATGATGCATTTGATGAATGCAGATTCACACTACCTTTTCAAGTATCTTTTGCGACCTCTACTGTTGTCGTGTTTGCAAATAGATTTTCTTCATATTCAAAATATTAACCAAAATCTGTTGAATCGATTCATTAAGAAATTTTGAGATTCTCTGCATCTCTCTGATGGAAATTATTTTCAAGCACGTTTCTTTAACTTTTTCGTTGTTATCGTCATTAACAGACCTTTACAGATGCTTTGTGCTACTCAAATACTAGTGTTCATGATAAGTGAACTCCCGAAACACTTCTGCAACATTTTCAATAATTTCGTAGTCGTGATTCTATGGAAACACAAAATTTCAAGCAAACTCATTGTTCCATTTTTCCATATTAAAATCTGCAGACAAACTTTTGCGTCATAAACAAAAGTGCCAACTACACACTTTTAATATATCGAGATCAAACTTCACACAAATATAAAAAAATAATTGTACCAATCTAGAAAAAAAATAACCAAAACAATTACCATATCCGGATTTTATGCGGCTGAGAACTATCGATTCGGCAGCATTGTTTAATATTATTAGGGGATTTGTTTTGTCAAAACAGCAACAACAATAACATAAAATATTGAACGCTTTGTTAGTTTGCAAAATTAGCGACAGCAGATTAAGCAGCATGAAAATCTAAAATAATGCTAGGCACATGTTCGAATAATGAATACGCTTGTCCAATAATTGGCAGATATTTTCAGCTTATCTGTCGGCAATTCGCTTGCTTGCTTATTTATAAATAAAAGTCAACTGAAACCACTGCTAAAACAATTGTGTTTATTAACTTGTTAAGTCAACTACTATATTTCAGATTCGCTTCAAAAATGCATGCAAATTCTGTCTGTTGTTTTTGTTTGTTGTGTGCATTGCTGGACTTGTGTCGGCGAAGCCACAAGGAGGTGCGTTGTGATTAAATAAAAAGTGAAAGAAACGATTTCGTAGCAGCCTAATATTTTTGTTTTCATAGATCTTAAAGACTCTACCGATTGTGGTGAAAATGAGAATTCACAACCTGCGGAACATCTGTCCACAGAGATGCGAAGGAGGTCTTCGTTTCTGCTCACTGCGCTGCTTTATTGGCTGTCGTTGTAAAAGTGGCTATGTGTTGAATAGAGAGAGAAAATGTGTCCTGCAGGAGGATTGTTAAGCGAAATATTGATGAAATTAATTATGTAATTATTTTGGAAAAAAATAAATATAAGAAAATTATTATTTTTTTATTGTTAAAACTGTCAATGTTTTAATTTTGTTCTGTCTGCCAGTATTATAATTATCGTGAAGTAATTATTATAAATACAAAATACATAAAAAAATATTTTAAAAGTGGCGATTAAGATAGGAGCATGAGTTAGGCTTTCTTGTTAATATTATTGTTATGGTATATTGTATTTTCGATATATGTGAGTGAATATTGTGGGCAGTTTATTAAAGTGTTTACTATTAGCTGCGTTAAATGTCGTTTAAAATTAACTCAGAAATACTTATCGAAAGCGGAAGTTATAAATAAAGCGCCAAGTTTAAATGAAATTTCTAAAAATGGTGCGTTTCAAATGGAACTTAATTTATGACAAAGTATTTGCTTTTCTCTCGCTCCTGCTTGTCTCTATATAAAAAATATAATAGCTAATTATATAGAACAACTGATAAACCACTGACCATGTTAAGAAGATTAAAACGAAGTGATGAAACATCATACAATTTTCAGAAACTAGTTCAGTGGCCAACCCACTCTTTATTTTAAAAATTATCCACTTGGCATTTGGCTGCAAAGAATAATTTTCATCTCTCAGTTCAAGACGTTGGCACGCTCAACCCTTCTATTTTGACTTAATCTTAACTAACTACTACTTATAACCGAGTTCTTCTTCTTTACAAGTGGTGTTACTGTCACATGCAGATCTGAAAATTAACACTCCTTATCTAGCTTCGAGCACACAGATAGCGAGCTCAGTGCTAGTATTGCCGCTCTGCTTTTGGAGTGAATTCTCACCTCCCTGAAAGAGGCTGCACTTCGTAGCAGTACGTCTACCAGCACCTTAATTGCAGCCACTTCTGGCTGAAAACAATATAATGGTACGGTAGCTTAACGCTAAGATTGACAGAGAACTCCTTACTGAATACTCCTCTTCAATGTTATCCCTGGCTTTGAACCATCCGTGGAAAAGCTCACTTCAACTCTCCTCCAGTGACTCCTCCGAGTGCCTCTGCGACGCAGTGATCATTTTTCAGAAATGCAGTTGAAAAATTGAGAATTTCGGCTTGTCCTTGTTCGGACCCTTCATATACAAGCTTTCCTTAGAGCGCACTTCGCAGCAATACGCCTATCGTAATGTGCAGGGTGCTATGTGTAAAGTGGCATTAAGTGCTATTGTTGGTTTAGTCCGCAGTGCACCGGAGATGCCGATAAGAGCCGCACTTTGGACACGTTAAGCTTCTTAACAAGTGTATCTTTTCGAGCACCTAACAAAGCGAATACACCATAGAACATTATTGGCTTACTACGGTTTGTAGATCCACAACACCATCTTTTGGTGAGACTCCGCACTTTCTCTATTGCTGTTACAGCAATATAAGGCAATCGATGCCTCCTTACTCTCTTCGCAATATTTGGCCTCATGAAAGCTTTCTAATATAACAATAGATCTCTTATAAAGTAAATTGTCATAGGTATTATATTGATAATATATAGGAACGAAGTAGTTTTGCAAATCCGGTAATTATTATTTCAAATTTGCTTCTTCTTGAGATAAAAAAACTTCCGTCGACTAGTATTGTTTTTAGTCTATAGCTTATAATATATGCTTACAAATATATTTGTTTTACATAAACTGATATCATTGAAAAAAATTTTAAAAATTAATATGATAATCAATTGACTCGAAAAGAAGACTTTGTATATGGATGATCTATTTTTATATCTACTACATGGTTGGCCTGCTATTATCCAGCAGTTGGATCGCACGTACATTTTTCATGGTTTATATCCTCATCGAGAGAAATAACAACTTATTAAATTCTTCTATAGTTTCTTTCAGAGTGAGCATTTTTTACTCTCAATGGAGTACGTCATTTCCAACATAAAGATGCAACCACTATAATGCGAAGAACTTTATTTTGAAAGGCTTGAATAAATTTAAAATTTTAATTGGCTCAACAGCCCTAGATTTGAATTCCATACGAATCACATTGATAGATTGCCTTATATACAAGTATTTTAGCTTGTTCTAGACTGAGACAGACTTCTTTGGCGTAGTGCACTTGAGCTCTGATCATTCTTCTTAGCTCTTATCAATTTGAGTAAGTCCCAGATATTTTGAGCTTTGCTTGTTTGTAGCAACTGACCAATAAGTACCACTTGGACATATTTTGTGCCTGAGTGTATTACACTCCGGTATGATTTTCAGTATTAATCCTATTGGTGAGATACGGTTCTAGAATGGTCAATTACGTTTGCAGTTTCTTGGAGCGGCAGTAAATTGCTACTCGACGCATGCACAGATGCTCTAATTGTGGAGTCAGAGTTAATCAAGAACGTTGACTGAGTACACCAGCGCCTGTGGGTCCCAAATCCGACTCAGCATTACGACACTTGACGTAGAACGTCCGATTAGCAAATATGACTTTAATAGCAAACTTAACTTATAATACGAGTAGGCCTATTGCCAGGCTTTGTCAAATGTTTGATGGACATTAGGAAAAACTGCAGAACAGTATTTAAATTTGCATGGCATCAGTTATAAAGTGTTCTACTCTGTGGCATTGCTCATGCAAAAATTGTTAAGTAAAATAAAATATATATCTGTATATTTTCGACAAATTGGAACTCCGAGTGAAATCGTCAAAGTCTACTCAACTCTTATAAAATTTTACTTTATATACCATATATAAAATTTGGAACGGTTGGACGTCGTAGGCTATACATACGACAAATTGGTAATGAACTATTTTTCTTAGTTACAAAAAAAAAACAATTTTAAACTAGGTGACCTTTTAACGCTCTGGTGAATCTTACTCTTCATGTGTATTTGTATATGATTTCATACATAACAGCTGCTTTAAAATATATATTTAAATGTTCGATACTCCCATAAAACTTATTACTAACTTTGTGAAATATATTGGAAAATTAATAACGCAAAAACTTTAAGCTTTGAAAAATAAACCAGATTAAGCTATACCTCATGAACCAAAAGCAACGCTACCACCCTAGTATGAGTATTTGCGTAATACTCTCATATAAAAGTAATATATATATATATATATATATATATATGTATGTATATAATGTTTGTGTACAAATAGTCAAGTACACCCATTTAATAGTAAATATTTTAGAATCATCTGTTCGTTTAGTCATTCGTTTAGTCGATTATGTATAAATAAAAGTGCCAGGAATCTGTTACTAAAACAATAGTATTCTCAGCTCGTTCAGTCAAGCAGTAAGATATTCCGATTTGCTTATAAAATGAATACTAAATTCTGTTTTTGTTTGTGCTCGTTGTGTGCATTGCTAGTTATGTGTCGGCGAAGCCACAAAGAGGTGAGTTGTGATTAAATTAAAAGTGAAAAAGTTGACACTGTGAAGCCTCCTAATCCTTTGTATTTCTTTTATACCTCTTAAAGGCTCTTATTGTGGAAAAATGAGGAATTCACAGAATGCGGCACCGCCTGCCCGCCAAAATGCGAACAAAGGAATAGTCCAAACTTATGCACGCTGCAATGCATTGTCGGCTGTCAGTGCAAGAGTGGCTATGTGTTGAACAATCAAGGAAGATGTGTCCTGCGAAGGGATTGTTGAGTGACAACACAAATTAAATAGAAAAATTAAGGAAATTTTTATTGTTTGAGTAATCGGTCACTGGATTGTGTTATGAGTGTATGATTTTAATAAATAACTGAAATATTAAAATATGTGAGTATATAAAATAAAAATTAAAAATAAAATGTTTTATAAAAATTATTTGATAGTAAACAGCTCGTAAAGATACTGGCTAAATGCGAAGTTTGAAACGGTACTATAGGTTTCTATTATGTATGTAGCGTATGTATTATGCAGGCATATTCGTATACCATGAAATATACATTTAAAACTTTGTTTGGTCAAACGTCATGCTCATAACAGCCCAATAATTCATAGATAGTAAATATTTATTATTATTAATATTCTAAAGCGTTGACATTCAGTTAGTTTATTCACATGTTTATCAGCGTAGGGAATTCTGTTTAATTTATCTCCTATTTACTCACCCACTACGTAATAGTCATGAAGAATGAGTACACCAACGTAATTTAATTACTTAACAGTGACGTAACAGATAATTCAAGATTCAGAAGAGAATATAATATAATATGTTTGTGCAATAATGCACACCTAAGGTCATATAGACAATATCATACTTTAAAATATATATAAAATTATATCCAAAAGTCAGAAAAAACACGTTTAGTAATAAAATAAAAAGTTTATATTTATAGAATTTAATGTGCTTTTATAGTTGATGATTAATTTTGAAATATTTTGGATTCCTGATTCCGTAACCGATCTTAAAAAATTATTACTTTAGGTAAATGCCATAATATAGCCGCATATACTAAAAACGCGTTTTTGTAAAAATTTATACTTCGGAGTGGCTTAAAGAATGAAATTGTGTTAAATCGTATGCCTTCGACATTACCTGATAAAAAATATATGTCTTGTGAAAATTTTAAGTCTATTGATTTTGCCTATTCGGAAAACAGCGTTTCCTAAAAAAAACCGTTTAAAGTTTAGGAGCCGATAACAGTAAGTAAAAATGTGGAAAAGCGTTGGCCTCAAGGGCCATTCCTGCAACTTCCGATAATTTCATAAATTAACGTTCAAATTTCGCTTATTTCATGCTTTTGAGTTCTTCGAGCTTAAAGTTTAATGGGAGTTTAATATAAACTATTTCCAAATTTCTCAAGACTAATCAATTTTTGTTTCTTTCGTTAACGATTTCTCGAAGCAAATCAACCGATTCTGACTCGCGTTTGCGTCAAACGATGTGTTTTTCAAGGTTCAAAACTGATTAGTTTTGGGATCGACCAGTCAAGATTCGTGGAAAGAAATTACGAATTATTATTATTGAGATTTCTTGAAATCTACTGAGTCCGATTGGGTTCAAACTTACACGAAATTCAACTGCAATGAAACCCTTTGGACTGTTGTTTAGTTTGTTCATGCCTTTAAAAGTTATAAGAGGGTTTACATACATTCACACACACACACACACCCATAACATCCACACATACATACAGACATAGGACATCACTCAGAAATGTTCGGGAACTTCCTCGATCCTGACCGAATCGAGATCTGTTGAGAATCGATTTTGCAAAATGGGGTGAAACCAATAACTTCCGATTTTTAGAAAATTTCAATTTTCTTAGGAGGAAGATTAAAAATCCTTCAAATACGCTCATATTTTAAAAATTTTGCTAATATCTTCAAATATTGGAAATATCATACGTACATATGTACCTGCATGCATATGTAAAAATATCGTATTTTTAATTCACAAGTGGATATAACTCTTCCCACAACCCAAAAATGGACTTTTATATCCTTCTCGACGCGATTAAATTTTTACGCTAACGTTACGTTTATAACTAATAAATGTGGTTTGGTTCTAACAAAATCGGTCCTAACGCAGTAGAGCCTCATAGTACCGGATATCTGACTGATTTTCTAACTTAAAAATCTTTAAAAATATTTCACTTTTTGTCAATTAAGTTTAACAAGTTTACAAGTATTTCACATGCTAAAAATGTGAAATACCTAATATTTATCTCTCT